CCGGCCAAAAGAAAAAAGCTACATATTAGGTCTAGTAAACAAGTTGGCAGGAACCCCTTGCTATTCTCCTTTCATCTTGTGCAAAAAACCAAAGATTAAAAGTAAGCGACTAAGTTAGGGTCACCTTATTTTCTCATGAAAGAGAATCAGGTTATCTTCTTCCGAACCAACAATCTGTAGCAAATAAAATCTTAGAATTAGATTTGCATAACTACACTAAAAGTAATATTGCATCAAACATTTGACAAAATTATGCAGAGCCCTGCTAGAATATACCATATCAGCATAGTGTCGTTTGGTTGGTTGGAATGTCTGTGATAGCCGAGTCAATGTTACCACAAGCTTCAATTTCCCTTGCCTCTGGCATTCAGTGTCCTCAACCTTCATCTCAACTTTTGGAGGTAGCAAGTGTAGAGAGTCTTTTAAATGGTTTCCAAAAGGGTACTTTCGACCAGTGACTATCTCTATTCTCCTGGGATCAGCCTCAGCCAGTGTCCCAAATGACTTTACTCCCATTGAATGTAGTGCCTGAAGGAAGAAGAATTGCAAAGGGTCAATATTTAAGTGACCCAAGGATATAAAAAGCGAGTTTAATTCCCGAACATATAATGAAGTGGGATACCTTTGCAGTCACCATTCCAATCCCAGGTAATTGTTTCAGCAGGTATGGACTGTCATCCCAGAGTTTTTGATATAATGACTTTGCCAGAAGCATTGAGTTCAGGGCTCCTTTGTAATTCTTTTGGTAAATAAAAAATTCTTTCATGCACCTGGCAATTCTACAGCCATTTGAGCATATGGAGTTCATATCCTATGACACAGAAACCAATTTGATTTCAACAATCTAGCTCTGAATATAATCAAATGCAACAGGGATCAAGATTATGAAGGAACACATTAAAGGTTATGAGCAATAAAACCTGGGTAAGGGATAAATCATGAACCGAAGGATCACCAGTCAAGCAGTCATTAGCCAGAACAAATATCTTTTCTTCTCTGGTTTGAATACGCTTTTTTCGCTTCCCTTTGTCATCAAGGATATGAAAGCGAAGTTGACCATCTTTATCAGCGTTTATGTCATTTAGAAGCTTCTTCTCATTACGTCTGAGCTGTATCCCTACATACACCAGTAGATAGATACATAATTCCTTCATTTGACTTTTCTAAACAACAGTGAAATGGCAGGAAGTACTTAAATATACATTACATGCAATTTCCTCAGAACGGCATATAACATGAAGAGCATCTTCCAAACTGCAGTTTACGGGTGTCTGCATAATGTGTTTCATTGTGTCAAATTTCAGGTAGTATTTCGTCATCAGCCTCCCAGGTTCTAACGGACGAAAAAGGGAAAGAAAAAAAAAAAGAACATTAGAAATTAGTAATATTTTGGTCAAGCGTGAATTCTGAAAGGTACTGTGTTATGGGT